ATTGCCCGTACCTTGATTATATCAGTGCTCCAACCATTGCTACCTCTAGCAGAGATGCATCTTTGTCAGAAATGTTTGGAAATAGTAGGGAAATAAGCTTAAGATAGGCTTCAGTGTTCAGGCATACAGAAAGCATTCTGCAGTCTGAGCAGAACATGCACAGATACGTTCTATGGCTAGCTATTCTTTGAGCCTTACCAAAAGTTTAATGGTCTAATAAATGAACTGAAGAAAAAATCAGCAATAAGGGAAAAAAACTCTTTTAAATATAAATTTGTTTCTGGGCTTGAATTCTATTTTTGTGTCAGTATTAAAATAAATGTCAGATTTTCAGAGGGCGACCCTTAAAAATTAATATACCATCTGGGACATGATCCAAAATTAAATAAAAACTGGATACAGTACAAAGGAGGGGAAATGCCGAAAGAATAGATCAAATATGGTGTGTGTATTTGTTTTTGTTTATTTTTAGATAAAATAGGTGGACAAATAGTCATCAAATGATGGTACAACAGAAACATTTATTTTTCTCATCATTCCTATCAATAGAGTGCTGTAACTCTGCAGATACTCACTTTATATCCAAGGGTATCCACTAGGGATGTTAAATATCGGTTAATTGAATAATTGATTATGCTTATGAATTCTTATCGGTTACTTGACTATTCTATAGTTCTGCAGGGATGGGGTGGCAGCCAGTGTACTCTGCCCCCAGCCCTGAGGACCCCCTACCACTCCACTCTGCTGCCTTCATGGGGTGGTAGTCCATGAGGGGAGCCAGTTTTAAAACGGTTCTTCTCACGGTCTGGCTGCCTGTCGCCTCACGCTGCTGCTTCTGATACAGAGGACTCAGCGTGGAGTAGCAGCAGCCCCTGTGCATGGGGGGAGGAAGGGGCAGGTCTGAGCTCCTGGACCCAGCACAAGCCAGAACCGAGCCAGGCTGCCTGCCCACCTGGGCCCTAATTAGGGTTGCTAGGTGTCTGGTTTTGAACCGGACAGTCTGGTATTTGAGCTTTCTGTCCGGAAACAAATTGAGAAAATACCGGACATATAAATGTCTGGTATTTTCTAAGTAAGTTTTGTTATTATCATGAGTATCGGTACGTAGTTGCGTGCTGTTTGGCTGGTAGACACGCTCTCGCTGTGTGAGAGTGTCTATTAGCCAGGCAATATGCAACTACATAGTAGAGAGGAGGGGGAGGATGGAATCCCTGGGTCCGGACTGATCCGTGTGCCCCGCCGGGACAGTGTGCAGGACGGGCAGCACCCGGGGATCTGCATGCGCCCGGAGCAGCCCCCCCACCCTCTCCCAGCCA